ACACCTTTCATGAAGGATAAAACCAGTTCCATCCCCCCCCCCTCTCTTTTGATAAGGGGTCAGAAAGAAGACCTGTAGTTGGTAGAAAACGGTTCCTTTCGATGAAACCTTTAATTAGAATACAATAAGAGATCAAATTAATGTTTAACCCCCCCCCCCCCCCCAGACCCCGTCGCTCACTGAAACTGAAAGTTATCGGTTGAGTAAATTGGGCTGGGATAATGTTTTTGAAATTCTTTATTACAACGCAAAATGTTATCCCAATGGCAAAATACGTCGCATAATTTCTGGAAAATAAAAATCTATTTATGAAAAAATCAAAGACTTCGTGAAGTTGCTTGAGATAATGGATTTTGGGATAACTTATTTTCTATTAGCGCGCAAAATTGCATTCCGACAGCGTAAAAAGATGCACAATATTTATTGTGCTTCATTTCCGCCAAGTTGACCGGAATAACGGCTTTTGAAATAACTTATAAGGTGCCTAATTATGCATTGCATTAAAAAACAAAAAACACTTTTCGCGCTCCAGAGCATCGACGCGACGATTTCGGCGGCTTCTCGGTGATGCTTCAGTTTCATTAGTAGGATACGGGTATATCGGCTTCGCAGGATTTACCGCTTTACCTCGTGCTGTGATTACATTTAGACGGCGAAGATCAAGAAAAACCGCAACTCTAGTAACTCTAGATCCCCCCCCCCCCCCCCGGCCCGCTTTACCCGTAAAAATCGCAGTTACTCCAAAAATGTTCACGCGCTCCGCTTCCCGTCGCCGAACTTTTGAACAACTGGATCCATAGCCCACAAATGCTACGTTTTTCGTATTTCTTCTAATTCGCCTATTACCGACTTTCAGATTTACCTTCCAGGTCCAGATCTGAAAAGGTGGGCTTAGGGAATTTTTAGCCCTTTACAGAACACCCTCCGAGTAGGAGGGCAAACTCTGGTATACATTGGTATCTTTTGGCTAGAAGTGTTTTTGAGGCGAGTTAAGCGGATGCGTGTTTTCTTCTTTACGAAGAAGTTTAGTTTGACCGCTGTGGTTATCGAGCCTTTGTCGTAGAAGAGAAACCTTTCTTTAAGGTTATCAGTTACAGGGAGAATTATGTTCTATCGATCGCTTTGTTGCGTGACATTTGTTTTTGGGGCCCTGAGCGCCTAATTTTCTTTCAATCTATGTGATTGAATTATCTCGAATATATTTGTTTCATCTGTAAATCACTGGTTTTGTGATTAATCCAGCTGAAAATTATGTCCTCGATAATAGTGTTCATATTGAATTTTTCTATTTCGTCCTCAGAATTATTAATTAATTCTTTGGAATTTTGGAGGCGGTCGAGACTGCTAAGTTTGTCAAATTAATAAATTGTACGTCAATGTCGAGATTTTCATCGTGGCGAAGGCTGGACGCGCCCTAGAAAAAAATATAATTCATTATAAGAAAGTTTAAAGTTTCTTCTAAAGTTTGTCTTGTTAGTAGCGTCCGCACACTACACTTGTGATATATGCGGAACCCATATCTACGCCACGATTTGCACGCTTTTTATAGATGATGTTGTCTAAACAGCGTTAAGCGGACGTTTCGTTTGGTTCCCGCACCTATAGTTGTGATGGGTCGCCAGATATATGGATTTCAATTGGTGGTAAATTGAGATTAAGGGCAATTCTTGGTCAATTTTGTTTTCTATCAGATTTATTAGTTGTTAATTTTGTTTAAACAATCACCTTGTATGCTATGTTCAAATTTATTACGTGTTAAAGACTAGATTTAGATATCTTGAAATTATTGCGTAGGATTTGTTAAAATTTATCTCCGGTCGTAGATAAGAAGCTTTGTTATCGCGGCGTAAGCTAATTACTTTCAGCATAAGAAAATACAGATGCACTTTATTGTCCAACAACGCATTAATTTGTTAAGAAAGTAGACGCAAAAGTTGAAAATAAAGGGCAATTGTTTTAAACAGATGACACGAATGTTAATCGTGGTTCTTTTGCAGTTTTGCCGTGATTTAATCGTATTATACTCGTTAAGTTCTTGTTATATTCTTTTTTCCAGCTGATTTGATTAATTGATGTTGAATAAATTTTCTTGACTTGAAAATTTGGAATGCCATCAAGGAAAATTAGCACATTCAGTTCAAAAAATTTACATGACATTCTCAAAGAGCGTGGTTTATTAGTATCTCTTTAGCTACATGATAAACTGTAAGATATTTACAGCGAAAAGTTTAGATATCAGATATTCAAATATGTTGCAAAGTTCATTATGCAACTATTTGAGTATTTTTTTTACATAGTGATACGAAAGAAACTACGCTTTTTCAATGTAAAAAATGCAGGGGGATTGGGGACATTGGGATGTTATATTTAATTTCGCCCCTACTCCCTTAACGATATTCCAAAATTTCACGTCGAAACTTTTGGAAACAACATGTATAATTCCATTTTTTAAGTTTTCGCATGGACATCTGGTACATTGATAGTTTAGAAGTCGAACCACGTACGTAATAAATCTAATGCAGAAGCGAAAGCTGCCAGGTTCTTCAGTGGCGGATTTCATTTTCCAAAACGAGATTTTAGATCAACTATTAAATTGTCAAGAATTGGAATATATATATAACTCTCTTCCAATAGTCACTAGGTGACAAATTCTTTAAAACAGAATACGTATTCCTTATGGTTTGTCTGTTGCAAAGGCGAGGAACCTTAAGATCTATTTCAAGGTCTGTGAAAACTTTTTTAGCCAGTTTCAAAATATTTGACACAAACACATCATCTACATTAGTTCTCTTTTTCTCTAAAACTTGTAGTAGCTCCGAGATGTGTTTTTTGGCGGAACTTAAATCAATTGTAGTGCTTTGAAGTGGCAAAGTTACGCTTAATACATCACTTAAACAATATATAGAGTGGCCCAACGAGAAGTATACAGAGGGCTTTTAGGGTATTACATTTAGAAATTTCGAAAAATCCTCGAACACGTCAATTGTTTATTTGAGGGGGACAACTTTTGGAATACCAATCACGAACCCAAGTCTTCACCCCTCTACGTAGGGAGCTTAACCCCTAAAATTTGAAATGGAATCCTATGGCAAATGGCACATTATTTGAAAGCCAATTTAATCGTGATTATTAATCTGCTTTGCTTTTTAAATTCTATTGATTCGTTTCGGAGAACTGACAGGTTCACTTAAGTTTAACAAACAAATTGAAGCGTTAAAATTAAATTTTAATAAAAGGTGACTTAGATCGCATTTGTTTTGGTTTTTTTTAGAAAAAAACCATTTCAAATGCGAATATCCCCCCTTTTAAATCCGCGTCTGAGGTTCTTTACAATTTCAAAAAAAAATTTTCTTTATGTTTTTTTTCTTTTTTGTCAAGGACTTGTTTATTACGAAACACAGATACAGCATTTAGCGACGTGAACTGTTTTTTTTGTAATGCAACACTTCCTGGTCACACTACTGGATACTGTGACCAGTAATTTTCAAGTTTATATTAAGCAAACACTTTTGTTATTTTTTGGATAAAATAAATTTCCTTATTTATTTTATTTATCTTATCTATGTTTTTAATTAAAAAATGGTAGACTAATTTCTTCGGCATCGAGCCCAACGAAATTAGTGCACCCAGCGATTTTGACTTTTTCTCAACCGAAGTTCCTTATCCCTTCAGTATAACTAAACTGTTTTCCCAATTAAATTGATCTGTTGGTGAAAATGCATGTTCTCATCGAAGATACGTGACATTCAATTCTTGGGTAGCTAGCTCCTCATCGGTTTACCAAGGTGTTTACTAGTATAATGAGGTTTTGTGACGCAATAAACATTAATTATTATAATAATGGTGGAGGGCTACATGAAGCACATGGGCTGCTATTCTCACATTTTCAAAATTGATTTGTAACTGTCGGAATATCTAACAAAAACAAGAACTTACGGAAAGCGTTCTTTAAACTCGGTTTAGAATTGCAAAATTTCGTAGGCGAAAGTGAGGGGCTAAGTTTTGCATTAACATCGCGAAGTGGGGGTTGAACCATATCGTTTAAATACTTTGATTTAAAGCATAGTTGAATCATTAACAAGGAAAACTGATTTTTCAAGTCCAAAGCGGGATGTTTCAAAATAACGTAAGTACCAATTCTTAAAAATACTAGGAATGTAATTCAAAATACTTGCATTAGGTCGTTTATTATTCCTTTTCGTTAAAAACACGTTTGAGGAAAGGTCATTTTAAATTAAAGTACATATGTTCCTGTTTTGTGAATTCTGACAAAAATAATCTTAACAAGGGCTTTTGTTAAAATATATACGTGGTAATGAAAGCAAGAAGTTGATATCTGATATTGAAGTGAGACATTTTTGCATTTAAATTCTTTAGTTTGAAATATGCTGTCACCGCAGTTTAAAATATTCCCTTCGTCCTGACAGCATTGAAAATATCTTTTTGTTGCCTGGAGCCGTGTTGCAAACCGGAAGACGCTACCATTTCCGTTTCCCCCGTCTTCGAACGTAAGCGGGGCAACGTTTAACCGAATCGATCTTGTTAAATTACCGGTAAAGAACAATGACTATTACAATCAGTGATAGAAAGAAACCGTTTTAAAGTAAAAAGAATTGATCACCGGCCCATTCAGTCATTATAAAATAACTTCCGCCGTCGTCTCAAGTTTGACCTCGCGGATTGTTCATTTATCCGTGGTTCCTCTCATCAAGTTCGGTATCGAGACGCAGATTTCCAGTCGTCGCACGTTCGACACACCCTCGCCAGTTCGGAATACTGAACATAAATGTCCGAGCAATTTTTCATTCCCGATTTTCACTCTTTATTATTATTTTGTCACAACGGGGGCGTAATGGCTCGCCAACATGTGGCCACATGCAGATCGCCACCGCTGCGATATGGACACTCAAATTGCTTTTCGCTTTCGAAATATATAATTTTATGTTCTTTCAATCCCCGAAACTTTACGCGTTACTCATGTATACTTCCACTTGTTTCAGAGCCCAGCAACTACGTGTGTTCAACGTGCAAAGCCCGAATGCACTCCGCATGGCGCCTGGTACAACACGTACAGCATTCCCACGGGGTGAAAATATACATCGACACTTCCTCTAGCAGCAATAACAACACCAGCTCGAGCAGTACGTCATCTGGATGTTCATCGGGAGGGGGACCTCCACCTCCTCCCAGCATACGACATCACATGCTACCACCACCCGATCTCCACAACCCCTTCAGCGTAGGCGGACTTTTACGACTACCTCTACCTCCGTTAAATCACGGCCCAGTGCACCCGGCGCCCCTATTTTCTCGTCCAGAGCACCACTTTCGCATGGAACAACTAGTAACGGAACAATTTCGACACCACGGTCTAAATTTAGCGGCGGCGGCTGCTGCGGTAGCTGCAAGCGGCGTTCCGCCACCGCATCCCAGTTTCCCATCACCCGCAGAACGAGCACCAACAGTTCCCACAATCCCTCCCAGAGAAAGAAATACGTCAAACCAACCACTTTCGCTGGAACCCCAACTAGACTACTATTCCCAACGGTTAAGGCAACTCGCGGGGACAACGAGTCCAGGCGCGGCACAAGCAAGCTCACCATCACCTCGCAAACATTCGCCACCATTCGCGAGCCCGTCACCCTCCCAGTTACCACCCAACAGCATTCCAAGCAACAACCTCAGCAGCAGTAGCAGCAATAATAACAATAACAACAACAGCAGTAATAGCGGAGGAAGCCCGCCGCAGAGTATTTCGCCCCCCGTTAAAAACGACGACGATCCCCAACCCCTGGCGATAACACCGCGCTCTTCTTCGACTCCACCCAACAAGCCGCTTTCCCCGAAGATAACGAATTCGGGGGACTCGGCGCACTCATGCGAGTACTGTGGGAAAAAATTCCGCTCGCAGAGTAGCTTAGAGGTTCACCGGAAAACTCACAGCGGCGAACTTCCCTACAAGTGCACCGTGTGCGATCACGCGTGCGCCCAGAGTTCCAAGTTGAAACGTCATATGAAAATCCATCGGACGCCCGAGGATCGCACAAGCAACGCGGGCTCCGTAGAAACGCTCGACGGGGAGGAAAGCGAGGAAGAGGAGGAGCTCGACGAGGAAGAGGACGACGATGATGGCGATGGCGAGGAGGAAGAGGCCGAAGATTTAAGCGTTCCAAGTCAAGTCAATTCAAAAAACTCGACGCAGTCAGCTTCCCTCGTTGGGGAGCTGATGGATAAATTTGGTCTTAGTAACATAGCGCAATACAGCGAAGCATACAAACAAGCTTTGCAGGAGTCTGGCTCCGCGTTGAAGCTTCACATGGCCAGTAAGGATCGTGATAACAATAACAGTACAAATTTGTCGGCGCAGTTAAAGTTGCGTGACGATTTCGTGAAGGGCATGTTGCCGGGACCGCCCACGCATCCCTTACCACTTTTTCCCCCTTTTGGCGAAACGTACGATGCCACGAAACGGTTTAAGTTAGATCTCGAAAGGAACGATTGGTGGCTGCCGGGTATTAAGAGGGAAAATTCGACCGCGGCCGGTCCAAGTGCCCTCCTACCCGGACCGTTGCTTATTAAAAAAGAACATCGTCGGAACGATACGTGCGAGTACTGCGGCAAGGTGTTTAAAAACTGTTCAAATCTTACGGTGCATCGCAGATCTCATACCGGGGAGAAGCCGTACAAGTGTGAACTGTGTTCGTACGCATGCGCGCAAAGTTCGAAATTGACTCGTCACATGAAAACTCACGGTCGACTCGGAAAAGATGTGTATCGGTGTCGGTTTTGTGAAATGCCGTTTTCGGTGCCGTCCACACTGGAGAAGCATATGCGAAAGTGTGTGGTGAATCAAGGCAAAAGTCACTTGTTACCAACCATGCCCATGCTGTCTGGGGACGAAGATTCGTATACCAGTATAGCCTCCAAGGAGGCGACATGACTCTACTCCTGGGGCGGCTTACGTCTACCGGCGCCTCCGTCAAGTCTCACGTACTAGTCCACACGAACTATTAGTTAATTCCTAAACGGTGGTACACTTCGGACTATTTCCAGCGTTTTGATTGCTCTTAACTGTTATAAGTTGTCACTATTGTTCTATGTAACTGATACCAAAGCAATGTTTAACTTTCGTAACTTAACATTTTTATTGATTTTATTATTGATCCATGTATATTTGTAATTAGTAATAGGTTGTTGTTTGAGACTGAGGGACCTGGAAGGCCTGCGCCATAGACCATCTCGTCGACGAACCAACGAGGTGGTTTATGTCGCCGCCACCTCGGTCCCGCTGTACATTCCCACATCATATCACATTTTCTGGCCAGTAGCCCTAAATGTACATAAATATTTATTTCTACTGTACCGTTGTTTCATTGTACAAAATGTCACGGTAAGATGTTCAAGTTTCCTATAAATGTTTTTGTTTTACTTACAAATTAAAAGAAAAGAGTTCATAATCTTGGTGTTAGATATCGGATTGAATCCGCGACACGCCTCCCCTGTTTTGCTCACAGGGTCATTTTTAGAAATTTCATCGGAATTAGAGGAATGTTAGAGATAAAATTAAATATTAATAAAATTCAGAAGTAGGAGTATATCCGAATTTTCCAAGTACTAAACAAAGTATTCCTAAAACATCTACGCAATATTAGTATTATTAAACAGTGGACCAGGGTCTTTATAGCCACATTGGCGTTTGGGAGTTTGATAGTTCGCGTGTACCAAACTTTTGCGACTCGCGAATTACCAAATACCTCAGGAATGTATTTGTAACTATTAATGTTAATATTATGTTATTTGAAATATTTTTTATTTATTTCTGCCATGGTTGTAGCACTACGGCGTTCGTATGGGCTGCACTCTTATTAAATTGTACTACATGTGTTCCTATACTGAACTCCTCATTCAGTGTGTATTACATTAAATGCATTACAAATCTGATTCTGTAGTTTTATTTCGACGACCTAATTGTGTTTCAGGAAACGAGAAACGACACATATTACAAGAATTTACACATCACAGTAGATATTTTGAATGATATTAGGTACAAGGGTAAGATTGAATGCATTTGAAACAAAACCATCAAAGTTAAAAAAATGGCCTTGAGCCTCCCCCAGATATGATGTTGAAGGCGAGGTTGAAGGTCGATCTCTAAGAAATTTCTGGGTGCGCTGCTGCAGCATTTGAATTTGTAAAATTATACATAGATTTTGCATAAACTCGAGCATAAACTATTAAAGAGGAATTTTAGTTTTTCATAATCTGAACTTAATAATAATAAACAATGTTTACACAGACGAACGGTCCCGTTTTTCACGGGGTCCGAATTCAAGACCCGTGTATCAGGCCTGTAGCCAGAATGAAGTAGCAGGAGTGGCCGGTATTTTTCTCAGTGGGGCTTATATTAAGACTTTGATAAAGGCTTTCCCCTGTAATTTTTGTAAAGGAACCATCAACCGTAATTTCCTAGCTACGGGCCTGCCGCGTATAAACGAGGGTCGCTCCAAATTTGAATCATGTTCTATTCAAGATATTGAAGTAAATTAAAATCGTAATTTGTTTTGGTAAAATTTAATATATAAAGTGAATGACTGTTTCTATCGTTTGTAAATGTAGGTATAGTGTGGTGAAGTCCCAGCATTACCTACATTTTTCCCCTGTGGGCCATATAAGCCACTGTCAAAATTACTTCGCGACAAAAAAATGTGGTTTAATTCTATTAAAGACACTGTCAATTAAAAATAAATTTTAATGTAAGAATTTTTAATCAAATCTTAAGTAACACCATAGTGTAAGCACTATGGTAACACCATTGAATTTATAACTAAATTCAATGGTAACACTCTTTCAAAACAAAATATAACAGAATTAACAACATGCCCTATCATGAACACTTCTTAAACATTATTACAGGTAGGTACACTATTAGCATTGAATAGTCAGATTTATTATTCAAGCTATTAGATATAACATTTAATACCAATAAACAAAATTGTACATGGTGTCCCCGATGCGCTGCGTTGATGACTACGTAAATGTAGGAAATTCATTCAAAGGCATTTAAGGAAAAATTGCGTGTGGGTTATTTCAATGTGTCCGCTTCATTTTAAATGTTTTACGACTTGGTTGTACAACGACGAGTTGATTGTATTACTATATTCGAAACTAATGTAAGTACATTCATTTTTAATTTTTGTACCTAGATAAAGTTTATTCATTGCATCTGTCTCGGCTAAAATCGTTTCAGTTTTATCTTGCGCTTTACCAAAAGTTGACACACACGTCGTTATTTTAAATGGAATGCACTTCTGCTTCTTAATTTTTTTTCACATAAACGGTTTTTGAATTATTCCAGATTTTTTTTTAAATTTTAGTCAACTGTAATACCTACTTCGTAAAAAAAATACCTTAAAACAGGCACGTGTGATTTTATTGATTTGCCTAAATAAAACATGTGCTACCTAATATCACAGATTAATTACTGTAGTTAATCTGTACTAATATGTAAGAACTGTTTAACAATTTATACAAGGTGCCCATGTTAAAGTTCTCACTTTTGCAAATACGAAAATCCATATAACTAAAATCGCCGGTTGTCGTGGAAAGTTGAATGAAGTGAAAATTTGTAACAACATTTTTGTTTCCTGTCAACATTCATAAAAAACCGTTCATTCTAGATATCTAGGTTCTAATTACAAACGGCCCATATTTTTCAGTGTAGAAGCCATTCGTTTTTTTTAAACTGAAAACATTGAAATGAATTTCTAACCATTTTAAGTTTTTTTTTGTCATTTTAGCGGAAATGCACCATTTGGTTCTACACATACACAACTTATTCTTTACGCGTGGTTACAACTCGTGTTTAAAGATTCTTCAGTGAAAAAGTCGTCCATAAATAAGGAAGGCTGCGCATGCGCAAACTATTTTTGCCATGTCATTTCAATTTGATTTTATAGGAAACATTTTCCGCTGAAATGACAAAATTGGGTCACAAATCAGAAAGGTAAATCTGCGCATGCGTAATAATATTCTTGCATCTGATGCGCAATCCATTTTTTATGTGCGTTTAATTTATTTTTTTAGAAAGTACCTTCCCACATTATTTTTGTGGAAACGCAACCTTAGGCAACATCTAGGCGGCATCCCCGGACGTGTTTACTAACGATGATTTTTCAGCTTTGGTCCGATTGTTTTCAAATCGGTGCCGTCGGAAGGCTCTTGTACACAACTCCTGTGTGACGAAATTGAAATGCGCTACTTTTTCTCCATTATCAACTCTCTATCTCTTATACGAGTAGTTACCAAGACCGCAATACTAATACAACGAATTCTAACACCCTGTATTCTTACATGTATTCCGAAGTACAATTTATTTTTGAAGGGATACATTCGCTGAAAAATTTACAAAAAAAAACAAATTTAACGTAGGTACATTAAAAAAATCAATACTGTGGCATTACATTTAAAATAACGAAGTAAAGATCATTTCTCGATAAAATCAGCAGTTGTTTAATTTGCAAATATTTTAGCTGAAAACCACGTACCAATTTTCAAAAATCTATTTAAATTCAAATTCTGCAATTTCAGCAAACGCACCAGATTCTAAAATTTTTTAGTACCTACTTTTCTGTTCTCTTTGAATTTATCTCATTGGATTGTGAGATCATCCACAATCTTGATTTTAAAATTTTTCAAATTGATTAGATTTTCGTTTCATCGAGATCTACCATCTTTCAAATTCTGCAGGTCCATCATTTTTAAGATTCTTTGGATTCTACCATTTCTTCGAATACTTCAGATTCTCGGTTTCTTCAAATTCTATAGATCACTCATATTCATAAAATTCTTTATCTTATTGTGTTTTCTCTTTAATTTTTTTAGTGAAGTGGACAATTCCGAATTCTTCTTAATGAATTCCTTTAGCCGGTTTTTCCCCTGGCAAGGAAAATCGTCGACGTGGTACATTTTCTAAGCTACGTGCGCGCTTCATATGTAAATAAACCATACGTTCAAACTGAATAGTATTTAGCGATGAGAATGTTTAAAATAAGGGAAAAAGATAAATTAATGTGAATGAGGAAGCAACATTGGGATTCCTTAGTTTCTTCGCGATCTTCAGATTTTTCAGATCCATCAAACTGTTAAGATTCACTTTCCGCGGCTCCTTTACATTATCTACACGTTTGAGAACCCTTAGATTCTTTAACTTCAAATTCTGAAATTTCTCTCGATCTGATCAGATTTCCATTTTTTCAAATTCTCCCTACAACTATACACTCTAGACTTAAAATTTTCTTGAACCTTTAGGTTCTTACGATTTTCTATATCCCTTTATTTTATCGAATTCTTCAGTTTCTGCAATTTCTTCATCATATTCGTAAGGTTCTTTGACTTCTTGTTGAATGCTTCATATTATTCAAATTCTTGATAACATTTTTTAGTTTCTCCAAATTCTGGAAATTAGATGATTAAGATGCTCCCGATTTTTTCATTTTTTTCGAATTCTCTCTACATGTATCACCCACACCCTTTTAGATTCTTAGGATTATTTGGATTCCTCTAATGAATACTTAAGTTTATGCTAATTTTTTGGATCTATAAGAATCTCCGGATTTCCTTGTTAATCAGGGTCTTTCATTTGTACAGATTCATCAAATTCTTCAGATTCTTGAAATTCTTGGTGATTGATTCCAAAAAAAGTTAGCCCCCTTTCAGCGTGGGGAAATTTATAATTTATTTAAACTGACTGGGACTGTTGTTATAAAGTCACTGTACTTTAAATTTGCTCCTTATCCATCTGTATATTTCTCCTACAAGTTCGTGTAAATTCGATCGTTGCCATCGATTTTTTTCGTAGTTTCTTATTCTGCTGTCAGAGGTCACGCAGAGTATAATTTTCTTTTAAAAAATCCTCTTCTATATTATGTTTCTATGCGCAGCACAATCTATTAGCGTCGGGCAAGAAGCTAATGCTTTCTCCCAACCGTCCGAACGCTCGCTCGCTCGATGGCTTCATATCCATCGATTTAAAAGAGAACGGATAGGCCCTTTTGACATGTCCGTTAGTTATGAATCAAATTGCATGAAATCCAAACTGGGCATAGCTTTAGCGATATAATACGCAATGTCAAAAGTTGATCCTAATAGATTCAACAATCACATCTTTTTTTGCGCATTTGTACACCTTTTGCTCATCTTCGAGAGGTAGCCGACTTCGGGCCGATGTGAATTTTGTCACGCGACTCCTAAAGCGGTCTCTCGTTTTCGAGTCGCTAGTAAAAGCTCGAACTATGAGAAAAATTGAGTACTATTTTTTGGAGGGTTTTTAATGAAATCCTCCAAAACAGCGCATTTATATGTGGGGGCGTCAGAAGTGGGTACCGGGAAAGGGAATGTGGTCACTCCCGACAAAATCTCACTGATGGTAGAGTCAAAACTGGCTAATAGAGTACTGATATTCCACACAAAAATGCGTTGAAGTCCCTTCGATCTCACATGAGGATGATAATTTTTGTCAAATGTAATGAACCGCTTTGGCACTTTTGATTAGGTATCGCGAGGGCTCTGTTAGCCTATTCAGATGATGTCTTTATGCAAGAACAAGTCCCCCCCAGGGTGGGAACCTTTTTTTTGTTTGCTGTGAACGAGAACTTTTTAACCACCCCGACACATCTATACTTTGCCTAAGCTTACCGTGCCTAAGTAAAGGTAATTTTGTACCTAAGTACATGATGTACTTGAAGTGCACGTAACAAAACTATGTTGTTGTACGATTGGTGCGATTCCAAATTGGATGTTCAACTCCATCCAAGAAAATATGTGGAAGGAATGAGAGGTTCCGAAAAAAGCACAAAGAAGGCGCATTACCTACATATGGGTACCTTGGATTGAACAGAGGAAGGCCAACCTAAGTACAGCAAAATAAGACAGAAATGGAGAAG